GCCGCACTTCGAGGCTGGCTTTACTACGCCGCGCATTGACAGGGGTCTCGATTTTGGCAGGGATTGTGAGGAGTGCGTTACTATCACTCCTCCCATCTCGCGTGTTTCCTTCTCGAGTGTCTATCAGCCTTGAGGGTCATTCCTCAGTTCAGTGATCTGTCTCGGCCTAGGAGAGCCTTCTATCGAGAACTAGTGGAGGAGATCGTGAAGTATCCACTGAGTGGCCGGATCGGCTTGACGGCGGGCGAGTTTCACTCGTTTTAGTTTTGGCCGCCAGCGGCAGATTACCTCAGCAAATCGCTTACCTGGCCATTGGCTCAGAATAGGCTGAATGACAAGGCCTTCATATGGGGCTTGGTGGATTTGTTGGCTTAGAGGAAAAGACTTCGCAAGCCTTCTACCATTATCCTCGGGTCCTCCCGTTATGGGACCATATAGGTGATGTGACGGCTCGTAACGCTCCTGAAAAGTTCGTGCTCATTGATTGCGCTTACGCAATGTAACAATGTATCGTCCTCGTATTCTGCAGTGAAAAGGAAGGTGTTTCTATCGCTGGTGGCCACAGCTCGAATGGTGATTTGGACGACGCGATTGAAAGAAGTCTTGCGAGGTAACCGTTATTCTCAACAGGATCTAATCAGATCTTTGAGCATCAGCTCAAGATGAAGAATAGAAGTGATAGAAAGCGATTGGTTTCGACAGATTTCAGCGCAAGGTGGGTGACAAGGGGGAGCCTGGTTTGCGTGAACGGAGCTAGCCTTGATTTTCTTTTTTTAGGTCTACCTAAGTTACATCGGGATGGTTTCTTGTGTAGTCCTTCCCTGGTTAGGATATTTTTTTATGTACCTAGTTAATTTGAGTAAGTGTCGTTCCAGGCCGCTTCCCAGCTCTACTTTGTTTATGATCCAAATCGAGATTCCCTACCCCCCCAGTTTGTTTTTGGCCCCCTTTTTTTCACCTCGACTGGGTCAGCTTTCCTCTTTCCCCATGGCCGAGTTTATTTTATCCTTTCCCCCTCTCCTTTAATGAAAGAGCCTCTTGATTTTGTCTAAAGGCAGAATATAGTGGCATCTCTGAATTCTTTTGAGGGTTTGACGGGTCCAGCTAACATCTGTTATCTTTTTTATTTTGTATATTTGGTTTGATATTTAATTTGTTTTGGGGTTCACCCCCCCTCCTTCTACACCTGGCGTCACACTACCAACCATGCTATCTCCTTTGAATATACCTGCAGGGCCGCTCTCAGGTACAAGAGGCAGACGAGGAATTACTGCAATGCTATGCCATCGAGCCCAGGCCAGACTTTTAGCTGCAACTACTACGACCGAGTATGCCTGTCCTGCTTAGGACTTATCAGTCACTAATGGGCATGCAAGCGGCGTGTACAGACCCTCTGGTGATTTTCGTTTTGCGAAACCAAGCCATAACGATAATGATTATCTATCTATCTATCTATCTATCTATCTATCTATCTATCTATCTATCTATATGAATGTAATCTATCCCTATCTGTACACAGTTTGAATATCACTAAATAATACATTTTCGGCCGGGTACCCAAATTTTTATCTTAATTCACACACTGAAGAAGGCTCCTGCATGTCGGTCACACGCTGAAGTGGCACCCCCCTTTTTTTTACTCTTATGTGAACCCTACCAATGTCTACCATTTTTTTTTACACTAGTGTAAAACGGATTTATGTCTGCCTTTGCATTGTGTTTTTTCTTTGATAAGACATTTAATAACCGAACAAGAGTTGAGATAATAAATTAACCAACCAACAAAAAATGTTTTAAACAAATGTAAGGGAAACGTGAGAAAACTTGTCTTTTCAAATCAATTGGTTTTAATTATTTGCAACAATCGCAAATAACTCAATGTAACCAGTAACCATTGAATATTATTGTTAATTATGAAATTATTGTATTTTCATCTTGCCACTAACAATTGTTATTTGTTTATTTGATTTCAGGTTCGACGGACAACAAATGACTTGATAAAAAAAAACTTTTCTCAATACGAAACAGAACAAAGAATCTCTTAAAGAACGATGTCCGAGTGGAGTTCTAAACAAGGCGCTTAGCAATGTCTTTCTAATTCAGATTGTAGATATCGAACAATATCTTTTATGTTGCTTTATCTACTTATATATATATATATATATATATATATATATATATATATATATATATAAAACAGGTTATGGCTCATTTACTAGCTGGGTCAGCCCCCTACCGAGCTTTGCCCTCCTTGCGAGACACAGCCAACAACGTCATATTCGGATCGTCTTACAGATACACGCCGAATGATGTCTACAATTCATGTTAAATGCTTTCAAAAAGGCGCCATTTACTCGCTCTTTCCACGATTACGGCTTCATTTAGCTTGGCCTTTACGGGAGAGTGAGAGAAGATATAGACTGGGGGAAGAATGGAATAGGGAGAGAGAGAGGAGGAGGAGGAGGATGGAGAGAGAGAGGAGCAAGGAGGATAAAGAGTGGGGGAGAAGGGAATGGGAGACAGAAAGAGGAGGAGGGAGGATAGAGAGTTGGGGGATGAGGTAATGGGGAGGAAAGAGAGATAAAGGAAAAATGAGAGAGAAGGAGAGCGATTTATACTTAGTTGTTATTTATACTTTATTTACATTTTTTTTAATCGGATCGTAGAATTTCGTTCGGAAACAAACAAAAAAATAAGGATTAATACAAGTTTAGAGGAAGGAGAATAAAAGTCGGAAGAAGACGAAAAAGAAAAGAAAGAAAAGAACAATAGAAAAAAAAAGGTTGGTTGTTAACAATGAAAATTCAAGAAAATGATGAAGCAAGGGGAAATGAAATAAAATAAATGAAAAAATAAGATAAAAATCAACGTGAAAGGAGACAAAAAGAAAAAGCTAAAAAAATAATTGTTATTCGGAATTCGATCAAGATACATAGCTTCTTTTATGTAGCTACCTTCAATAATTCGCCCCACAACAAAAACAACATGATGAAAAATGAAAAAAAAAGAAGCCCAGACTTGATAAAAACAAATTTTTATCGTCAAAATGTTTGTTATTAAGAGCAAAGGCCAAAGTATTTATCTATTATTTTATTATTTTTTTCCATTCCTTCTAGCATATTCGAAAAGTTGGTCAAAATACTTTTTTTTTGCGTCCGCTGTCAAATCAACGTGTCTTTTTTATCGCACAAAAGGAGCTAAAACATCAATCATAAAAATTAAGGCCATATTTACTAATGATATTTTAGCTCTTTTTTTTTCGATAAAAAATACGTTGATTTGAGAATTCTTGCAAAAATCAAATAATTGTTAAATTTTAATGAAACTTTCAGAACTTATTCACAAATAAATAAAATTATTTAAAAAAATATTTTTTAGAAAATCTTGGCAAATATATGTGTGTGAAAAGTGTGTGTATATAAATATAAATAAATATATATATATATATAATTATTTATATATTATATGCGCGGTACTTATTAGAAAGCGCTCAATATCAGAGATAGAGCTAACATATTTGGTTGGATTGATGTGAGTTTGTGACCCTGGGTTTCACGCTTTTGCGATCGTCAGACAAAAAGTGGGTGTAAAATATAAATATGTAATATATATATATATATATATATATATATATATATATATATATATATATATATATATATATTTGGTTGATTATTATTGTGAGTTTGTCTGACGATCGCAAAAGCGTGAAACCCAGGGTCACAAACTCACATCAATCCAACCAAATATATATATATATATATATATATATATATATATATATATATTTACACCCTTACTTAATTTCATAAAATTTCGAGAAATTAAATTTTAATCGCAAAATTTCTTTTATTAGCTAAAAGCAGGACTCCTTGGTGAATGTAAATTCACAATCTTTTTCATACTTCTGTTCATCTCCCGAAAATCTGCTCCGCATCATAAAATAAGAAATGCAATAGAACTGTGACATTATTTAATTAGGAAAGATTTTAATTACTTTTCTAAATAAAATTTATTAAGGACACTATTGTGTTAAGAAAAAAAATCATTGAATAATGAATTTTTAGAAGAATTGTTTACATTTTTAAAAATTTTAATTATAATCTATTATCATAATTTAAAATTAATTCTTTTTTAATTCTGTCTTAATTTAATTGCGCTAGTTTAAATTGTTATTATGCGAAAATTTACTAATCAAAAATTGAATACAAATCATCAGTCACCAAGATTTTTAAAATAATTTTTAATTTTTTTTATGTCTATGAAATATTATGTAACGTGCCCATTTTTGAAAGTATGGTCGACCATACACGACATTATCAGAAAATAAGAGCGATGACTATAATAAATTTAAAGTCAATATTCCTAAAATTAAATTACGTTGAATATTTTTTCAAAATTTTAAAGATTACTGAGTACTTACAAATTATATAAAAAAAGGCGCTAACGTCATTTTCTTAAATTATGTTTTACAGATCGAGTCTCAGTAGAACAACAATAAACCTGTCATCACTTGTCAATCACTTAAAACTGTCGGTTAAAAACGCGGCTACTGTTTGTTTTAAAAATGCATTTCTGTGTTATTTTAAACGTAAAGCAAATGATATTTTTTCAAATCAGATTAATTATACTTTAAATCAGATAATATTCCTCAAATAAAGTTTCAGAAAAGTATATTTTATTTTTGAAAGATTTTTAATACAGAGAATTGCATTGCGGTGAAAGACGACTAAAAAAGGGCGCTGATCAGCTATTTTAGGAAAAAAAATCAATTCCAATCAATATAATTTCGGATTGAAATACACTTGAGTATTTTGCTTTCTGGATATAGTAAATTCAACCCTTTAGCTTTCAATTAAAGCTAAAATGAAGGCTTCAAGAAAGCTTTTTCATTTTAAACATTAGGTATCGCAATTTAGTGGAGGCCCCTACTTTTATGCATCATGTTTGAAAGCCTTTATCGCTGCAAGGAATACCTCACTCTGTCGGACATTGGAGGCTTACGGCCATATCACGTTCAAACACCGGTTTCCGTACGATCACCGAAATTAAGCAACGTCGAACTTGATTAATACGCAGATGAGTGACCGCTTGAGAACGCCAGTTGCTGTAAGCTTGGATGCACAGGTGGTGTAATGGACAATGGTTCGAAATTGTTAATCAGAGAGCCGAGTTCCAATTCCAGTTGGGTTCGTTATATTCTCATGCGTGCAAATCCCCAGCCCCCATGTTAATTCGTAGGACTTGTTTCACTAAAACTTTATTATTCCCCGCCAAAAAATTATTACAATCAAAAAACAATTCTGGATTTAAATAACCTTCAAAAGAATTGATAAACCGTAAAAAATGAATGAATCAGACAAAATTGGAAAGGTTTAAGAAAAGGGGAAAATCGACAATTACTCTAGTATAAACGACGTTTCGGGTGACTCATCTGGTTAAGCATTACTACTGAGTATTAAGTTTGATCCTCACCGTGTGCTCCATACAAAATTCGACATTATTAAATCAATAAGTGTTGACATATTAAATTAACCAATAAAATATGCCATGTTTTTTTTTATGGCATGGAGTAATTAATACGTTTCTTGTGGATATAAAATAGGGGATCAGTTTTCTTTTGTTCTTAAGTAATAAACTGATCCCTCCTAAATTTTTATATAATATTTGGAAAAATATATTTAAATATTCATATGTATGGGTGCGTGGTCGAGTTAGAACGTTCACTTTCTGACCACGAGACTGGGTTCGAATCTCACCATGGTCGATTTTTTTGTCGCGATGGGAGAGGCGGTCATAGGAAACCGCACCACTTGTCAACACAAGCCTAGTGAATGAAAGTGGGTAGATGGAACGGTCCAGAAGGTTGTACTGACCGATGGTTTAGAGCGTGCTGGCCTTGCCTTAGGAAGTCCCCCGCACTTTGACTAAGGTTCGTTCCGTGTAGTTGAAATGTAAACCCCAGCTGGTTTGAGCAGGCGTCTGTCGCTCTTCCCAATCGATAATCAGCCTCAACTGTTGATATGATCAAACCTGAAGAAAGAAATCCCGCCAAGAATCACTTATACAGGAAACGAAACAATCCCTGAACGCTTCGGAGGGATACGCATTAGGGATTCTGATGTTAATGACACTTGCTCTTGATTATGGCCTGGGACTTGAAAGATATTCTTTGATACTAACCCCAGTGTTGAACCTTTGTGTGTAAATATATATATATATTACTTCAAACATTATCGCATTTGAGTAGACACTCCGTTAATTTTGAACATTATTTATTTCGTCTACCGGACTGCATACTCGAGAAATCTTAATAAAAGAAATAAAAGAAATGTGCCTGGTTAAGTTTTCAGATATATTATGGTGTCCGTAATATTTTTTTAAGCATTTCACCCCAAGCAAGGCAGGAGTGCCACTAGCACGCAAGGGGCTACAGAGAGTAGAGAACAACAGTAAAGTGGCGTGTTTGGGGAGAGGACAAAGAGAAGGTCACGGATCAAGGTCATTACACTTGAATGCTTGAAGATTATAGTTATCAGGGAAACAAGTAAGAGGAAGAGAATTCCACAGACGGGAAGTGCGAGAAAAGAAACTGTTTCAGTAGAAGAGAAATTTAACCGTTTTGACAGTGAAAGGTTAAGACCGAGATGCTAACCAATTATCTCACTTAAATTTATGCAGTCTGGGTACCAGAGAAAGCAACTTGTCGGAACAGTTGCCGTGAAAATATTTATAGAAGAGACAGAGGGAAGCCACGGCACGTCTGTGAAAGGGCAACTGTAGACTAGATGCCAGATCAGGACCTATCAAATTGCATATCCGTCTCTGGATTTTGTCGAGGACCTCGAGACTTAGAGCGGGGGCACCAGATCATATACGTCATCAATATTCCATGCAAGGACGGATGGTTGTGAATATAAATATATATATATATATATATATATATATATATATATATATATATATATATATATATATGTGTGTGTGTGTGTTCATCTGTATAAGATGCTCTATTGCAAACTATCAATAGCAGCAATTAATATACGGAAAATTATATAATTTAACGCCTATTAAACTTTGTGGATCAGTTTTAATATTTTATATTATTAGGATTCACTTGGATCACAGATTTTTACATACACACACACACACACACATACACACACACACACACACATATATATATATATATATATGTATAAGTCAACACACTGTTTCATGCTGAACGCAGGCCACCTATCAGGCCACCTATCAGGCCACCTATCAGGCCACCGACATATATATATATATATATATATATATATATATATATATATATATTTGCTTTGGATTTACATTGAGCTCTCTGGATTTTATCCTCGTTGGGTCTACCCATACGTATTACCTAGTTCTTCATAAACTAATATATATATATATATATATATATATATATATATATATATTTGAAAAACCTTTGACAAGGTGTGGTATAGACGGTTACGAAATGATCTCTGGTTATGAAATCACTGGAAGAGTCTTCTCAATTAACAAGCATTTCCTAACGGACAGGTCCCTGAGGTTAGTTGTTAATGGTCAGTACCCAGAAGCTCAAGCGATCAAAGCAGGCTCGCTTCTCGTTTCAACCCTTTTTCTACTTTCCGTAAATGATCTGCTTAAGAGTATACTCCAAACATTTGTGAATATTTATATAGATGATAAAACAGTATATGGGTGCACCTTGAAAAGTCTAGAAGACCAGAGCTTGTCAGTTGATCTTTCCATTGACCTAGCAGGGAGACCGGATGAACTGACAGCCTACTGGGACTTAAACACAATCCTGACCTCAAGTGAAACTCGTACATACGATTCATCGCAAAAGATGCTGGAAAAATGGTCGGTACCCTGTACTGCTCCTGTAAGTACCTCACTCTTCCTGCAATCCTCTAACTTTACAAGAGTCAGATCAGGCCGAAAATAGACTACTACTGCCATATATGGTTTCAAGAGCTAGCTGCCCAGTCTTCATTTTTCCAGTCTCGATAAAGTTCAAAAGCGTTTCCTTAATTATTTTCCACCCTACAACCCCTTTCTCACAGTGGAAGTATCGCAAGCCCCTCGCCACGCTACCGCTATTTCCATGGAAAATGTTCAGAAGAACTACATTCCTTACAGTTCCACAAGTTCTAAACTTCACGGCTAAGACCCGCCCTGCTACGCATATTGTGGCAAACTGCCCTAATTTTTAAATTAAAAAAAAAAAAGAAGAATTTACTCACTTTCGTTTTTTTAGACATTAAATTACGTCACTTAGCACCTTCCATAATTTGCCGAGATTTTTCAGTTAACTTGATGAATATTTACGAGCGTCCCACTATTTCTATTGTTCAGACTTTTGTCTTCATCGTTGTTGGCATATTTACGACGAGAAAAACAATAATAAATCAGGTGTGACTGAGCATATATGGAGGGAAAAGGGAGATAGCGCCCCCTGTGGGATGCTGCTGAAATAATAGACAGAGAACATCACTGGAAAACCCGAAAACTTAAGGAATCAGCGCATATGCTAGACCACGAAAATCTCCTGAGCCGACCAAGCATAGAAATGAATACAATATGGGAACCAGTAATACAAAATGCTAGAGAAAAGCAATAATAACAACATCAACGGCCGAAACGTCGGGAATATGACAACAATGATGAGAACAATAGTCCTCATCATTGTTGTCATATTCAGAGCTCTACAATCGTAGCCTTGTGCCATACTAAGCCCTACACATAATATGAGTTAATCCAACCAGAAAGACTTTTGATTAGGCGTTTCTACTTTTTCCATCCCGCTCCGATCTTTTGAATATGAGTAAAGGTTTATCTCTTGTTTCTCGTTTAGGATTGGGTTTCCGGTTCCTTCCAAAGCTCATTTAGCCATTTTCAAGTTTATTAAGGCATTGTATTCGTGATCAATCAAAATTCGTAAATAATTATATAGGCCATACTACAACATGTTTGACACGAAGACTCACTCTACACCTTTTTGATCATAGCTCATTTAAATATTCATAGAGACCTACCGGGCACTATTCGGATACTTGTTGACAAAACTAATATAATAGCATCATCTACATGCAAAAAAAGGCTAAAAATAATGGAAGCTTTATTAATAAAAATAAGAAAAAAATAACATTCAATAATATCAACTATGAACATGGAGACAATATCTTGACCGTGTTTTGAAAATGAAAACATTATATAAATACATACATGCAACAAACTATTTCTTATTTAACGATTAAAATATTTCAAGCTTGAAAATTACTAAATGTATAGCCGAAAGCGCTCGGATAAAAAGAACGTGCGGACAGTTTTTATATAATTTATCATCTGAAACTGAAAAGAAAAAAAAAAGATTAGATCACATGAGAAATTGTATAAAAAACTAAATCAAAGCACCTTGTCTGCCGTATTCAGTGATATATATATATATATATATATATATATATATATATATATTCTACAAATACTTTCACAGTAACTGCTCCTTCGAGCTATTTTCGCTAGTTCCCAAACTGCATGAATTTAAACATACCAGTAGGTCGGCATCTCAGTCCCACCCTTTCACTGTCGAAACGGTTAAATGCGGCCGTCACTTCTACTCCAATAGTTTCATGTCTCGCACTTCTCGCATGTGGAACTCCTTCCTCTTACTTGCTTCCCTGATGGCTATAATCTTCAACTATTCAAATGCAATATCAATCAACATCTCCAGATGATTTGATTTATTCCCCGTCATTCTCTTTCACGCCTCTTTACTCTTACTCCGACTCTCTGTAACCCCTTGCTTGCTAGTGGCACTCCTGCCTTGCTTGGGGTGAAAAGCATATATATATATATATATATATATATATATATATATATATATATATATATATATATATCCTTCTGTTTCGCTTTGCTTGTCTTTCTCGTTTTTCCTTTGCCTCTTCGACTCGGTTCTACTTTATAGATTCATTTTGCTCTCTCTGTTTGCGTTGTTTATATTTCACTTTTTCTATTTCTTTCGCTCTTTATTTCCAGGCGCCGATTTCGTATACTCTCTCTTTTTCTCTCTGTCTCTCTTCCTGTCTCTCTTCTGCAGGCG